ATAAATATATATATATATATATATATATATATATATATATATATATATATATATATATATATATATATATATAAATATATATATATATATATATATATATATATATATATATATATATATATATATATATATATATATATATGTATACATATATGTATCTCTATGATCAAAATAAATGAAACGTCCTCTCTTCATTAAAAAAAAGAATGATGCGAAATATAATGACTGCAGTAATACTAATGAGAGAAAAACAACAGTACCCGAGAAAATTCCTCACAACCTGGCGCTTTTCTGCTCAACACAGCAGAAACTCGCTACTTCGCAGGTGGAAGGTAGCGGAAAATTGCAAATGCTGTCAGAGTTGGCACTTGGAATGAGGTCGGTGAGACGAGAGGAAAATGATTAGTTCAACCTGATTGGCAGAAAATTGATTGGGTATAGACAGCGGGGCGATGAAATTGGGATTAATTGAGATGGGGGTTGTCATTAAGTCACCGGATTGAATGTTACTCCCGCGTAAATGTTTGTGCAGAGATTTGTAACCGACCTATTTCACGAGCCGTAAATGGCCATTCAAATACTTCAATTAGCACGAGAATGATTTACGTTCCTTTCATAAGAAGGACCTTTTGGTATGACTGTAATGATTCTGTTGCCATTATTCAAAAGTTCATGGGGCAGATTGCCTTTTTAGCAGGGGAAGTTTAAATTACGTTGCATGTAAACAGTCAACAGACATGCAATGTGTGATGAATGAGCGGCGACCATAATGGAAGAGTTAAAAGGTTGCTTGAATTATCTTCTGTCGCATTATTGTCATGTCAACCCTTATTTGTACAAAAGTATAGCGATGCATCTGAGTGTAATGTGTTATTACCATGTTAAGAAAAACAAACAAACAGGTTTATTTAAAAGATCAAACGACAGTCTCAACCTCAAATCAAATGTCTGAACTACTTTGCGCTTGCCCTGTCCTCTCTGTCCCTCCGGCTTGCCCTGCCCCCTGTCCTCTCTTGCCCCAGCCTCCCCTTTGATGCGTTCCTCTTCTCTCCCGCTCAGAAATGACGC